GGGACCTGTGGAAGGGGGAGGGGCTGGAGAGAGGGGCAGCAGGGTCAAGAGCGCTGAGGCGGGGGTTCCTCAGTAGAGTATCAGTGGGGTCCACCTGGCCCCCCAGAGGGATCTCTGTGTCTCTCGCAAGCCAAGGGGCTGGCACTGAGCGCCGACTGCCCTGAACACTGTGAGTGCTGAGTGAGCACAAAGGCCAGTGGTTTGGGCCAGGGTCCGATGGCCTTATTGCCAAGGAAGCAGGGGACGGCGGAGGGGCCAAGTGTGAGCACCCCGCCAGCCTTTACTGGGGGATAGGAGTGTCCCTTGGGCCCTGATACCACCGGGCTATAGGGGGACCCTGAACAAACTGGTTCTAACCAGTAGAGACTATTAAAGTTGAACAGACAAATTAAGGAAAATCAATCACATTTCAGAGGAAATGGGAACAAAGTCAGGATGTGAGCAGTTTCTTTAAAAAGGGCACATTTTGGGGAGGGTCTAGGCAGTGCCGTGTAAACTCAGACCCCTCCCTCTGGGCCTGTCCAGGAACCCAGGTCTCATCTGAAGCCTGAGGCCTGGGTGGTGGGAGTGGGAGGCTGGCTGGCATGGGGACAGAGGGTCCTTGGTGCTTGTTTGACTGCAGAAAAGCAGGTGTGTCTTTTCTAGCAAGATGGAAAGACCAGGTGGGGATGGATGGGGCCAGTGGGCTGGGACTTGGAAGGTTGTCAGGGTCCTTTGAGGGAAAAAAGGGAAAGAGGACAGTCCTTAGGGTTCCCACAGGAGGGGCTGGGCCCACGGGCTTTGCTCTGCTGTGGGCAGCCAAGTGGGTGACTGAGTTGGTCCCGGGCAGGGTCAGGACTCCTCTTTTAGCCAGGCCCCTCCGGCACCTTGTCTGTGCTCAGGGTCGGAAGGGCATGAAGGTGGCACAAGGTGTGCCGTGCCCAGGCCTGGTTCTGTCTTTAGAAGCAGATGGATCGTACAGCAACCGTCCCGCTTCACAGACCAGGGCCAACAGCCTGTGGAATTCAAACCCTGACCTGACAAAGCTGTGCTCCTGGGAGTCTTGATGCTGAGGGATGGAGGGGAGCCAAGACCAGGGTCCCAACAGCAAGGGGTCTCCATTGGAACAAGAGGCGAAGACCTGCAAGCTAGCCCTGGTCAAGGGACCAGGTGCCTGCCCTGGTCCACTAGGGCAGGAGCTTGTGAGGAGGGGACCTGGCCAGCCAGAAAGGGTGCTGGGCAGAGGGTCCCTACAACACTGCTGCATCCGGGGCCCTCCCAAGGCCTCTGAGTCTTGGAGGTTCCTGAGACCAGGTGCCTGCCCAAGAAAGGGCTGTAGGCTTCTGTCCCTCAAGGTTGGCCACAGCCCCA